AATTTAAAAGTMAGTACTTAAAGAACAGCACATGGTCTTTTACATAAAACAAAATGATCTCTTTTAGACCAACATGACAGTCTCCTTATTAGAGACTTCCCTCTTTTAGTCTATGATGCTTCTTAATTGAACAACTTCATATAGGTCAAAGGCTCCAAAACGGTCGTTTCAATTTCCAGTTGTCTTTAAAAAAACCATGGGAGGACAAAGAGAAATCCATGAAAACTTGGCTGATGATTGGCCAAATGTAAACATTTGGTTTATATCTTAGATTGTTCTGGCTAACAACAAAATGTCATAGACAAGGTGGCTCATAAACAACAGAATTTATTCCTCACAGTTCTGGAGGCTGGGAAGTTAAAAGATTAAGATGCTGGCAAACTTGGTGTCTGATGAGGGCTTTCTGGTATATAGCAGACACCTGTTTTCTTGGTGTGTCCTCACATGACTAAAGGAGCAAGACACCTCAGCAAGTACTCTTCTGTAAAGGCACAAATGCCRTTCATGAGCTAATTACTTCTCCAAAGCCTGGCCTTCTAGTACTATCACCTTGCCATTAGGGCTTCAATATATGAATTGGGGAATGGGGAGGATATAAATATGCAGTCCATTGCATTCTGTCCCTAGGATTTCCCAAAGAAACAACCCATAACTTGTATATGTGTGTGTGTGTGTGTGTGTGTGTGTGTGTGTGTGTGTGTGTGTGTGTGTTTATTAATTCTGGGGATTGGCTCATGAGATAATGAAGGTGAGAATTTCCTTGTTCTATTGTCTGGCAGTTGGAGAAACAGGAAAACATTGTGGCATGATTCCCAGCCAAATCTGAAGGCCTAAGAACCAGAGAAACCAAAGGTGTAAGTCTTAATTCACGTCCTGAGTTTTGAGAACTTGGGGCTCAGATGTCTGAGAGAGAAAAAGGTCAATATCCCAACTCAGAAAGCCAATTTGCCCTTCCTCTGCATTCTTTTTTTTTTTTTTTTAGGGTTTTTTTTTTTTTGTTATACATGGACTCAATAACTTTATTTTGTTTATTTTTTGATGTGGTACTAAGGATCGAACCCACTGCCTCACACATGCAAGGCAAGTGCTCTGCCACTGAGCCACAACCCCAGCCCCCTCTTCCTCTGCATTCTTGTCATATCCAGCCCTCAATGAATTTAATAATGGCCATCCACAACTTCTTTACTCAGTCTACCAATTTAAATGCTCATCRCTTCTGGAAACATGCTCACATGCACCCAGAAATCATCTTTTACCAGCTTTCTGGGCATCCTTTAGCTCAGTGAAGTTGACACATAAAATTAACCATCATGTGGACTGGGGATATAGCTCAGTGGTAGAGCAATTGCCTACTATCTCCAAGGCCCGGGTTCTACCCCCAGCACCACAAAATAATAAAAAATTTTAAAAAATTAATCATCACAGTGTTTTGGGCCCTTTTTAAAATAATATTTATTTTTTAATTTTAGGTGGACACAATATCTTTATTTTGTTTYTATGTGGTGCTGAGAATCRAACCCAGTGCCTCATGCATGCTAGGCGAGCTTGCTACCACTTGAGCCACATCCCCAGCCCCTGTTTTGGGCTCTTAACCCTAAAGTTAAGCCACCCTGAGTGCTCACCTAAATAATTAGCAGCAGATTTCTCATATACAGACAAGGATGATGAAAGCTCTCATAGATACACATAGAAGCCAGGAGATGATGTTAAAAGTCCAATGCTACTWGAGGACACCAAAGTCTAATCAGAACTCCCAAATCTCAGAGGTAAGTAATAAACCTGACATTGAGGGGCTGCGGGTATAATTGAATGAGAAACTGCTTCTCTAGTATGCAAGGCCTTAGGTTCTATTCCCAGTACTGCAAAAACAACAACAACAACAACAACAAAAACAAAACCCTGACATTAAAGGGCCAACAAGATAATCAGAGCTAGGTCATTTACCATCATTATTTGTGTGATATTAATTATGTAGACATATTTTCTCACATTCATTGATTTCTGTACCGGAAGAACTCTTTGTGATTGTCTCTTCTAATAAGGAAACAGACTGCAAGGGATTAAGTGACTTGATCAGGATTACACAGAACTGGCTAGAACCCAGCTTTTTAAATGAATATACTTAAATTAGTAAAAGTATGTCACATGTGTAAAAGAAGATAAATAATATGAACAATGATCATCAATGTTTAAAAAAAGATAGAATAACATCACAAAAACTTTCCATTATAACCTGGGTGACACCAGGCAGGAGGACCTTKAATTAGAAAGCTGGAAGAGGCTGATGAATGCTGGCACAGCCACAGGCCAAGGAGGGGTCACTAAAGGAGAGGAGAAGTTGCAGTGTCTTTCAAAAACTCCAAAGCAAGAGCAAGGCAAGGTAACTGTCCCGGGAGACTGGGGATGCAACTTGTCCTAGGAACAAAGCATTTTCTTTTTTTTCATCATTTTACTCAGCTTGCATACTCCTAAACTGAGCTTGCATTTGGAGCTTCACTGAGATAGTAGTCTATATTTGGGTCACACAGATTATAGAAGCATCTTCCTGCCAAGTTTTCCTCTCTCCTAARGACTCTACTTAACTCTGAATTTGTAGGTGACCAACTCCATACATTGGCCTTAATGACTGATTGCTGTWTTTTCAAGGTGCTGTCAGGCAAATTTTTCTAATTAATTTCATTCCAAACAGTAGCACTTAATCCTGGTTGTACATTAGAATTATCTGGGAAGCTTAGAAAAAAAATACTAATGCCAGGACCCTTCCACAGTTAAATTCTAGTTTAATTAGCCTGAGGTCCAAGCATTGGTATGTCTGAAAAACTCCTGGGTGATTCTAATAGGTAGTCAGGGTTGGAATCACTGATTTAAAACATCAGGAGAAAGAAAGGGTTAAGAATATGGGTCCTGGGGCTGAGGTTGTAGCTCAGTGATAAAGTGCTTGCCTTGTATTTGTGAGTCACTGGGTTCAATCCTCAGTACCACATAAATATTAATAAAGATACTGTGTGTTCATCTACAACTAAACAAACATTAAAAAAAAAAAAAGAATATAGGTACTTTGTTTTCCTGGTGTAGCTATACCGATTAAAGTTTCCTTCATGACTGGGTGCAGTGGTACAAGTCTGTAATCCTATTGACTAAGGAGGTTGAGGCAGGAGGATCAGCAACTTAGCAAGGCCCTGTCTTAAAATAAAAATAAAAAGAGCTGAGGATGTAGCTCAGTGGAAAAACACCTATGGGTTCAATCCCTAGTACCATTATTCCCCTCAAAAAAAAGAAAGAAAACAAATCCCCAAAACCAACAGAAATCAGGGGAAAAGTTTTAATGAACTAAACAACATTGCTTTTTTTTCATTTTCATGTGATTCTTTTAAAAATACTGAAATAATTTGTAGGACATACTGTCTTCAAAAGTTTTTCTCATTACTCATTTTTGCTAAGGAAAGACAACATATGGCTGAATTCAACAATAAATGTGAAACTGATGGTTCTGCTGAAACTTCTTATCCTCATTATCTTTGTCCAAATCACATACACTGGTAAAGCACTTGCCTTGCATGTGTGAGGCACTGGGTTCAAGCCTCAGCACCACATGAAAAAAAATAAACATRCTGTGTGTTTATTTACAACTAAATAAATATTTTTTAAAAATRTATGATACACTAAGCACAACCTCCTTAATACTTATGATTGAGATGTCTGGRCAGCCCACTAGGCACAGTACTTACAGAAAAAGATTCCAGGACATTTTGTTGTTATGGTACTTGTTTTCTGCTATGGAAATTCAACAATGAAATCAGTGTGGAGTGAAATAAGTAGAAATGCAAGTCCTTCCTGCTTTTGGGCCCTCTCATTTTTTGTTTGAGCAGAAGGTGAAAGGTATTACCTCCCTTTTCTTATCACTTTTTTTTTTTTTCATTTCCTTCCAAGGCATTAGAGAAGGCAAGAGATGGGAGAAAAACTAACTGGTTTATATAACAGGGAGTGTAATAAAAGTTCAATTGCCATCTGAGAACAAGACTTCCCTAAGATTATACAGCTGGACAGACTTGGAGCTGGATTTGGAACTGGGGGCCTTGTTTCCCAAATCCACTCTTTTCAAGGTAACACGGGCCATCTTACCCAGCCAAACTACATGTCTTCCACTTCATTAACTGATTCCCTGAATGAAATATCCTCAAACCTCATGCTTAATTCAGGCACAATGGTCATCTGTACTTTCTCACCATTTAACGCTGTGCTGCGTCTGAACACTGTGTATTTTTGGTTGTTACATTCTTCTCGTTGATGTGCRCTTACTGAATGCCTGTTGTTGTCAAACGTCACAAGTTTCTAATAGGAATTGCCTATACTGCCTGTGCTCAGTGGATAGCCAGGCCTGGCATGAAGCCTTTTAGCCAGCACCTTGGGTCACACTTCTGGCTTGTTCTCCTCGCTAGGCTCGGTCTCTGCAGGCACTTGGGCCCTCAGGGACTGTGCCCGAGGAAGAGSGGGGACTCAGGGACTCGGACTGGCTCTTTTTGGGTAAAATGGAARGAATGAATAACTTGCCGCATGGGAAGGTGGGAGAGTGAGTGGGCCTCTGCCCCAAAGGCCGCGCGGAGGAGGGTGGCCAGCCAGTCTAGCCTGACTCAGCCAGGCGCACAGGGTCCGCCCGAGGCCGCCGCAGGCGGGAAGGCGGTACCGCCGAGGGAAGGGCCRGGGGAAGAGCCCGGGAGCTGGAGCCACAGACAAGGGAGGAGGAAAAGCCCAGGGGGAGGTGCTGGGAGCCGGAAAAGCAAAGCGAGCCCGCAGTGAGAACGGAAAAGAGAAACGCAGCTGGTAGAGGCAAGGAAGGGGCGGAGCCGGAGAGTCGAGGCGGAGCCAAGGGCGGGGCCTGAGGAGACGTCGGGGGAGGAGCCAGGATAGGGGTGGGGCCGGCGGGTCGGGGGAGGCTCCCGGGGAGGGCGGAGCCGGGGGTGGGGAGGTGCGGGGGAGGAGCCCRGGAAGGGGAGGTGCCGGGGGAGCGACCTCCTCGGCAGCCGCTGCCGCCGCCGCCRCSGCTTTGGGTCACCGGGGGCTCTCCTCGGGCCAGCTACTCGCTCAGCGGGTCCTCGACCACTCCCTGAGGCGCGGGCTCAGGCGGTCGCGCAGACGAGGACGCCCTGGGCGCCCCCCGCGGGCCGCCGCCTCCCTCGGCGCGCGGGGCCGGCATGGAGCTCTTCCAAGCCAAGGACCACTACATCCTGCAGCAGGGCGAGCGCGCGCTATGGTGCAGCCGCCGCGACGGCGGCCTCCAGCTCCGACCGGGTGAGGCGCGCGGTGCCGGCTGGGGCGCCTGGGCCCGGGCGGGAGCGGAGGGGGCGCGGCCCGGCCCCGCGGAGAGCCGCCGCCCGCGGGCGGGAGAGCTGTCAGTTTCCTGGCGCCCGCGGCCCTGCCCTCTGCGGAGGAGAAAGGGCCTGCGACCCTCGCCGCCTGCGCGTCCGGCGCGCCGTCGGGTCCCCGGCCGGGGCCTGAGCTCGGGCCGGGGTCCTGCCCGGCGGATAGCTCTGGCGGGCGCTCGGAGGCCCTCGGGCCTCCCCCTGGAGGACTTCTCCCAGCCCTTCGCGAGGTTCTGGGTTCCAGTTCCACCAAGTCCGTGGAACCTTCTGTTGCCGTCCATGTGTTCCTAGTGTCTTATTATTGATAAGTGCCGCTTGGTGATGGTTACCTCATGGGCTCTCGATGTGAGGCACCTGTCTTCAATTGTAGTATTACAGTTTGTATTGAAGAGTTTGGATGTTTAAGAAGTACTGTGGGCCCATGTTTTGGGTGTCCCTTAGAGGAGCCTGGGGCTGCAGCCTTCAGTTTGCTGTAGGGAAGTTTGCGGATGGTAACTGCTGCGCCTGCCCTCAGAGAGCTGACAGTCTTCCCTCTGTGAGGGCACAGGCGGCCCCTACCGCTTGCCAGTCCTTTCTTTTAACCATTCAAGATCTTTTCACGTTAGGAAAAGTGGGAGAATTGAGGTTTTCAAAAGAAAGAGCSCAAGCATTGGACATTTCCTTGTAATTCTTGCATGCATGCGTCTAGGCAAAGATTTACCTGGTATGAATTGAAAAATATAAAAGGTTCAAATGAACTTTTCAGATCAGCTTGTCACCATTTATAAGATAGTTTCCAAAGACAGACCCTTTAGCCTTATTCCCAATCCCCACAACCTCCTTTTCGCGCAGGTGGTGGCATCCTCTTTTTCAGGTGAGGAGCAATGTGCCCAAGAGTTTGTAGAGTTGGGATACTTGATAACAGGGCAGTTTCCATTCCGTCAGAACACTTCTTGGCAGGCCCTGCTGCTTTCTTATGATGTCCTATTAGTTGCTTTGCTACAGCAACGAACTTTTCTTTTTTCTACACTCTGCCTATATTTTTCTTGCTATTACATTTTATTTCCTCTTCAGAAAGGAGGAGAAACTACTGCATCTACATAAGGTTCCTGATGAGCTTGGGACAGACATTGTAGATAAAATAATTTTGCCCAGTCTTCTGTCATTTTTCTCTTTTTTCCTGATTTGATCATTAACCTGGCTTCCCTCCCCCTCCAAATTTGGGTAAAATTCCAGGTTTTCAAAAAAAGCAAACTTCTTGGAGTCAAAGACCTTGGACCCTTAGAGCTGGTTGGAAGTTGAGATCATCATGAAGTCATTGGACAGGACCGGCTTCTCTGCATCTTAGTTTTCTCAGCTATAACCTGGTCCTAAATTTTGGATTAAGTCATGTGGTTTGGGTTGCTCTTTATCCAGAGTCCATATTGAAAGGCAAACTTAAACCTTTTTTTAAACAAATGAAACGGCTAGAGCCTTTGCAGTTATCTAACTTCTTGGAATGTACTGGACCACAGGATAAAATAGTCCAATAACCTATAAGAAGGAAGAGGCCTTTATGTTTCAGAAGTAACCACTGTTTTGATCTTTAGTTGTTCCCAGTGAATAAAGAATCCCCACACTTTACCAAATGGTTTATCTTGCTTAGTACTCAATATCCTTCCTAAATATGGCTCTTTAAAGTGGCATTTTAATTTACTACATGGTACATATGGGATTATTTGAAATTCTGTTTATTGGACTTGCCTCCCCTATCCTTTATGGCCAGTTTTGCTATTGTTTGTAGGGTCAGCGTTTACAATCTTTGGTTGTTTCCTATTAGTTATTCAATTTAATAGATTACTGACCAAGCCCTTTTCTTTATCACACAGCAGTATGATAAGACCAAAAAAGCTTGTGGACATTGTGATTTTTTTACATGTTGCATTTGAATAGCTGAGACAGGAGTTTTCTTTTTCCTAGAGACATCAGAATAATAAGAATTGATATTTAAGGTTAAAGTGATATTTAGGCTGGAATGTTTGTTACTCTTAGCCCCTTTTTCTGCCTAGCTGTTTGTGTAATGCAACTCTGAAGCCATCCCCACCTTGTGCTCACCTAAACCTTATGACTGGGGTAGAATTATTGGCCACCTTTATTGTGTTTCCAGGTACTTAGTGTACCTAGTGCACACTTCCATTATAGCCCTTTCTTATTATACCATGTAATAATAGTTTGACCCCCCCCCACTAGGGCTTGTACATGCTAGTCAAGTACTCTATCACTGAGGTACGTCCCCAACCTTTACTTTATTTTGAGAGTCTTGATAAGTTGCCCAGACTGGCCTTGAACTTATGATCCTCCTGCCTTAGCTTCCCAGGTAATTGTCATAGGCATACGCCATCTCACCTAGTGATAGTTTGTCTCCAGTGGACAGTGTATTCTTCAAGGCAAGGACTATACTCATCTTGGTATCTTTAGGCTTTAGAATGTTTAGAACACAGAAGACATTTTTTGTTGAGTTGAGCTGAATAAAACTTAGGTCCAAGTTTTCTCTGAGTTAAATCATTGCCTTAAAAAGAAGATGCTGTGTTTTGCTTATTACTAATTTTAGGCTGTTTTGAGTATCTTTTTAATTGGGCTGGAAAATCTCTGTCCAGCTGGATGAGGAAATATGAAGAAAGGAGTACTTCTGTTGTTTTTTTTTTTCCTTGACTGATGTAGCATTGTTTGTTTATTTATTTTTTGGGTGGTGCTCCTATTTTTCTTTTTAATGCTGTTAAAGGTCTTTCAATTTTTTCCTAGCTAAATAACTGAGTATTATTTTTCTGATGTTTCAAATAATTCTAAAGCTAAGGAGTAGTCTACATTTAGGCATAGTACTGCTTTTTGATAGATGCTTATGTCTATTGCAGGGTAATAACCACCAGAGAAAAATATTGAGGTTTTAATTTCTCCCAGGAAAATGACAAAACCCTATGTACATATTCAGTGGTTTCCTGAGAGTAGAGTTTAATGTCTGAGAATAAGAATTGTAGTTTAAAGACTTAAAAAATGAATATAACACAATCCACTTTTGGGGAATAGTGATATAATCTTATCTCTTTAGTCTTAAAATTGCTTCCACTAGCCCTTGTGGCTTTGTCTGATATGGCAGTGTTATATAATTTACTGCTCTGTGTTGCCTTATTCTATTCTGAGACTGAGTGACCATGAAAAGATCTCAAAGCATCTGTCATACACACAACATTCATGAGCATGTGAACTATATATAGAAATGTGATACTCTAAATGATGAAAACCAGTAGACATTCATTCTTTTTGGGGAGGCAGGGGGTTACTAGCTATCAGAATTCACAAAAATAAAAATGTTTTCCTTCTCAAGTTTTGATAATGAAAGTATTTTTTTTCTATGTTATATGAAGTTAACTTTGAATAAGAATTTGTAGTTATAGGCCAGACATGATAGCACATACCTTTAATCTCACTCAGGAAGTTGAGGCAGGAGGATCAGGAGTTTCAGGCCAACCTGGGCAACTTAGTGAGACCCTGTCTCAAAATTTAAAAAGAAGGACTGGGTGTGTAGCTCAGTGGCAGATCACTTGCCTAGCATGTATGAGGCTCTGGATTCCATTGCAAAGGGGGAAAAAAAAAAAGAAATTAAAGAGTAGAAATCCAGCTGGGATTGTGGCTCAGCGGTAGAGCGCTCGCCTAGCATGGGTGGGACCCGAGTTCGATCCTCAGCACCACATAAAAATAAAAAGGCATTATGTTGTGACAATCTACACCTAAAAAAAAAAGTAGAAATCCATATTTATCTCCTGTATTCAGTTTATTTAGTTTTGTGTCATTGGTTTTATTTTTTATTTTATTTATTTATTTATTTATTTATTTTTTAGAGAGTGAGAGAGGAGAGAGAGTGAGAGAGAGAGAGAGAATTTTTAATATTTATTTTTTAGTTCTTGGCGGACACAACATCTTTGTTGGTATGTGGTGCTGAGGATCGAACCCGGGCCGCACGCATGCCAGGAGAGCGCGATACCGCTTGAGCCACATCCCCAGCCCCTGGTTTTATTTTTTAAAAAGTTTTGAATCTTTACCATTTTAAAACATTGTGTTTGCTAAAAATTGAAAAATTACCATGGCAAAATGTAATAGTACATTTTAATTGAGAAATTAATTAAGTACATTTAAATTTTATAAATCATTTTTGTTATTGTTGAATAACCAGTGTCTTTGGTCTTCAGTTCCTTAGAAGACTTAGCAATTTTATATTCCTTACTACTTTTTACTCCATATTTTAAGACTAGCAGTTGAGTTGAATAAGTCTGCTTTTTTTAATGCATGTACTTATTTTATACACACACACACACACACCACACACACACACACACACACGGGGGGCTATTTTATTCTATATATAGGCTACTATAATGATTATGATAACTAAAGATACATTTCAGCTATTTCCATTAAAACATAAATCCTACAGTCTTGTAATTCAGAAAGTAGAAAAGTTTATAAACCATTTTTGTCAATAATGAGGAAACTCTGGCTTTGAAGCCACATGCTAAGTTAGAAGCCTTGTGTGTGTGTGTGTGTGTGTGTGTGTGTGTGTGTGTGTGTGTTAGTGTTAGGATTGATCTAGCCCTTTTATATTTTGAGACAGTGGCTAATTAAGTTGCCTAGGCTGGCCTGGAACTTGTAATCCTCCTGCCTCAGCCTCCTGAGTAGCTGGGATTATAGGCATGTATCACCATATCTAGCTGTGCATTTTTTAATTTGAAGACAGAAAAAAACTTATCTTTGCAAAATTGTCCCCCCTTTCCCTATGTTTGAGGGTAACTAAGGGTCTTTCTAGGGTGACTGGTTATTTTTGGAATCAGGTTTTACAGACCAATGAATGTATTTGTAATTTATATTGTCATCCCAGCTAATCTGGATTATTAGCTAATAAAACAGCTTTTTATTCGT